GGACACTTCAGCTGCTCACTAATCGGTGACTGTATGTTTTATCTGGAGATTGGCTGTGATGACTTCCTGGCAGAGGTGGACACTGTAATACCGACTGAAGTATAATTACCACTTCCGCTTATTGCTGACATCTTCTGCTCCCATTCGTAACTACTTTCTGGCATGCATAGCCATAGAACAGCAAACTAATCTTATGATTTTGTAAGCGCTTGAGATAACGGCTACTTCATGATTCAGATATTGAGTTCAACAGTGTGCCAGCCAAACATAATATTCACATAAAGAATAAATAGGGATCAAGGAAGCCGGAATAGCTCAGTCGGTATAGCGACAGGCTACGCGGTGACGGTGGAGTTCGAGCCTTGGTAGGAGCACGATTCTTCTCCTCTCCACGTCGTCCAGACAGATCATGGGGCCCACCCAGCCTCCTATGCAATGGGTACCGGGGGTAAAGCGGCTGGGGCGTGAAGCTGACCACTCACCTCCATATAGTGCCCATTGAGTGTGAACTGTGTTGCACTGAACTCCACTGAACAGAGGCCTCTCGTCCCGCCCGGGGACACCAGAGTTCTCACGACTGCTTTTCTTGCATGTGACGCTGTGTACTGACGTATCGGAGGAATATTCTGCTCCATCTTCAGGGTAGAAGACGCAGATTCATTGGAAATGCGATCTCTGTTAGAAGATACACTGTTCCGCGACTCGCCTCGAAAGATGCAGGAAAAGTACGAAGATCCTTCGTCACGACAGAGAGTAACCCGAACTAGAGTCGAACCTTGGGCCTCCCGAATCCGGAATACGAGCTTCTACGTTATATTTAATTGTTCCATTGTTGCGGAACGCGTCGGCACGCAGCCACATGTGAGGGCGTGTGTGTTCGCGTTCCCATGGCAACGTGATCAATGTGATTGCAGACGTCCTTGGTTACTGACACAGCCAGTGCTCCGCGGGAGGCGTTCCGTTTGTATCCAGTATCCATCTGCACGCTTCCTTTGCGCCTCTCACTTGTTCCTCGCAGATGTACCCGTTCTAGACCGAGGCATGGCTACCTTGCTGGTCAGTACGCTAATACTTAAGGAATAACGCCGAAATATTGTATCGACTTTAATTGGCGTATTTGGCACCGTACGCAGCCTCCTGAGGATAACTGTGACACTATTTCAAGGAAGTAGCGGCTCCGGTCTAGAAAACCGAGATTAACGGCCGTGGGGATCCGTTGCGCTGATCACGCGACACCCTCCATCCGCAAAAGTTGGCACTAACTTCGCCGACAAGCGGCGGTCGCTCGGTCGGTATAGTTTGCTTGCGGACTAGGGGCCACGAAGTAAAAAAAAACGGCAAAACAATTCAACGAACAGTGCTATAACTTTGGCACTGGGGCTACAGTGAATACTGTTACATTTATACAACACGGTAGTAGCCATCAGCCGAAGTACTCAGAATTGTAACTGGTAACACACGGCGTTACCTAAGCAATGTGTACGGGGACCGACTTCCCGGGGTTAAAGCGGCCGGAGAGTGAAGCTTAACACTCACCTCCATCCAGTGACGTGGTCAAGAATTTTGATGCTCTACCTCCACTTTCCCATGTGTTTTCATGGCAAAAAGGTAAAGCTGTGCCTGCACTTAACTAATTATGCACTACGCCATGAACACGTCTATACATGCACGTTTTGTTGACCTCGGCACTAGTTGGAGGTGACTGGTCAGGTTCATGCCCCGTTCGGTTTATCCTCGGGGAAAGAGCGCCCCAATACGCATTGTAAAGATTGTGTGGGCTGCGGAGGAGAGAAGCAGATTCCACGGTCATCCGGTCCACATCTTAGTCACCACACTGACTGAGCTACAACAGAAAGAGAGCAAGAAAGTGCAAGCGATAAGGGAGAGATGGAATGAAGGAAAGCAAAACGCTGCTAGAACAGCTGCACGAGGACAACTCGATGGTAGCATTTACGGCCGTTGTACTTCTTGTTTTGTAGGTCAAGCGAATCGGATTCCGTGGGACAGAAACATGCAATGTCACGGTCAAGCGGGCGGAGGGGTGCACTGGTAGGGGGGGGGGTCTGAAGGTGCCGGGCACCGCTAGCATAGCTTCCGCGCACACGCGCGCTTTACAAACTGTGACGAGGACGGTTCTCTGGCTTGTAACGTCGTGTAGTTGAGAGGGAGCCCGACGCCTCGGGGGCTAAACTAAGCTTGCTGAAGATGAAGGCTGTATGTTCATCTCAACGACTCCTGGCTTTCCTCATGAGTATTTATTATTATTATTAGAGGGGGTGGGTTTCCACATGCACTTAGACCAGTTATTGGTCCATTGTGCGTCCCCCTTTAATTTCTACTGTCGCCATACCCTACCGGTACTGGTGCGTGCTATCAGCCCCGTTCAGCCAACGAGGTCGGCCGTCGGTACTTGATATTTCCCCCATCTACCAGAGGCATTGGAAACTACTTGGGCGGGAAATTGTTGCCTAATTTTGCTGAGGTCTCCTAGAGACATGAGGCTCTTTTACGTGCCGTAAATCTACGACACGGGACCCCCCGGAGGACTTGTTCCTCAATTTTTCCGCCCTTAAAAATTCCACGACCTCCGTTCCTCATGAGTATAACAAAGAGCAGTTTTTCAGCTGACAGTCGTTCAGGTGGTAAAGAAATTCATTGCCTTTTATGGTACTCTAGGGTCCATTAATTTGTTCATAAGAGTCCACCACCTGCCGCTGTCCCGAGCCTGATAAATCCAGTCCACACTTTCATTTTCGAAGTATTACATTTTCGTCGGAACAGGTTACAATGGTGACTAGGGTACTGGCCGAACAACCGAGGAATTGTTGTTCGATTCCCTGCAGGGGAAAGTGATCCTTCTCTTTTCGATAGCATCTAGATCGGCCCTGGGGCCCACCCAACACCTATCCAAAGGACAGCGGGACTCTTTCCCCAAGAGATAAAGCGGCCGGAGAGTCAAATAGATCACTCACCTCCATCAAATGCAGGCTTATACATTGGAAGCAAATGAATATTATCAGTTAATATAATTTTATTATTTAATTTTAGGTGAGATATCTTCACTGCTCCCACACTTCTTCATGGCCTGGTATTTAATTAAACACAAGGACAAAAGAATTCAAGTTCATAGATTTTTTAATAATACGGGGGCGGATTTGTTAGCCCTATGCTCAACCCACATTCTACGGGACCACCTCTGTCGACTTTTCGCATATCCGCAGGTACCCTGCATGTCTGGAAATGTACCTCCTGCTTTAACATACAGAAACTCCTGCAATTTTCCTACAATGCTTCGTATGATTCTTAAGGTGCGTCCACATTACTCGTGCTCGTGCTCGCCAGGCTTGTGCTCGTCGGGAGACTCGTCTGGCTTTTACCTGTGCTATTAAATCTTCGTCCGGACTACTTCAGTTGCTCGCCAGGCTTCGGCGCGTGAGGGTCCGTATATTTACTCGTAGTGTGTATAGGCTGTAGTCGTATTTTAATTTATTGGCTATAGTTTTTAAATGAAAAATTTTAAATTTGCTTGACTCGTGACTTGTCATATCATCCACATTACTCGCGAGCATAGCGAGTCACACGAGCACGAGTACGAGTAATGTGGACGCGCCTTTACAGTAAATAGCGCTTATTTTGCTGAATAGCATAAACCAGTCGGTGCTTATGACACGTAATGTGTTCCCAGTGACGTACGAACTGAATTTCTATATACTATTACATGAATTCCACGATCGCGTCTTCCTACTGGCAAAAAGAAAACAGGTGTAGCTTTTTATGTCGGACACAGTATTGATACCTCACGGCAGATGAACATATAATTGCTGAGAGAATACAGACAACTCCTGTTAGCCCTTGACTGGCTCTGTCCTTCAGGCAGATGATGTCATAACCTACGATCTTAACAAACCAGGAAACAACACACTCTCAGGCGCAGTATATCAAAACACAAAACATCACGCGGATTGTCGGATTTGCAGTTACAGCGGTGATTATGAAGAGGAACAGTTTATGAGCTATGCCGTCATGCAAGTCCTGCAGACGTTAACTGAGGTCTAGAGGAATGTACTGCACCCATCTTCCGCGTCGAGGGGTAAACTAAGCAATAAAAGTCGCTTGGCTTATTCTTCGACGACCCGAAACGTCGGTAACGGCGTTACATCCCTGTAAACAGTACTCTTCAACACATGGGTTATTTAACGATGTTTTTCCAGCTGCGTAAGTCATACAGGTTCGATGATGTGGAACAGGGAGGTTATGGCCAACCGTGACCTCGGGGATATGTCAGAGCAAGACAGGCGGCTATTGTGACGTAGCAACAACGCTTGTAGTCGGCACACAGGCTGATACGGGAAAGCGCTGATACAATAACACTGGGAGATCCTCAGGCTGTGGTCTTCAGGGATGTGACTCCATACAGTTTGGTAGATACGTACCAACGTTTCGGAAGAATCTGCTTTCTACACTTAAGAAGGAGTAGGCAGATCTCTCCGAAACGTTGGTACCAGTGGAGTCACATCCCAGAACACATTAACCTAGAGTTGTCATGGCAGTGAGTATCAGTATTAAGGCCTTCTGGAAAGCGACACCGTGTAATCTGATAGCTAATAAGCTTTTGAGAGGAAATTAATTCCTACCCTGGAAATGGAGACAGCAAGTTAATTCGAAATGCTGGTTCTTATGTACCGAACTACACGGGGTCATATTATAGAGCGCAGTGATATTCATAGTCACCGTCTCAGGAACGTAACGTTCCAGACAATTTCTTGACCTTTTTTGTTTTTTGCATGCCTTTCAAATTTCCGGGGAAAGCCACGAGATAACTCAGTGAAGACAATGACCGATGAATAAATTAATAAGTGGTGGGCCTTAACCGGGCCTTGCACCACGACCACAAGCGATTGTTGTGCGTCCCCCCTCTGTTCAACCCCCGCAAAGGGGCAGTTTGTGAACTTGACTCCGCCGGTACACATGCTCGGTCCATAAGAAAGCAGTGTGCTTACCTCGGCGGTCGATAAGGGCGATTAGGGCCGGGCAGGACGCCGACTTGAAGTCCTCGGAAGCACGGTGAAACTTGGCCACACTTCTGCGCTCCATTACTCACTCCTCTGGCCGCTTGCAGTCGGCTGCTGCATTGTGGGCGCGAAGACACGTGACCGACCGTGCATTCTGCTGGCGGAAGAACCGGCCTGCACTGCTCTCGCGCAAGGTAACCTCGGCGCAGGGACACTGGCCCTGGAGGAAAAGCTCCATGCATTCGTGCCTGGTCTCTGTACTCCGGTCTGAATATCGTGTTCTCCCTGTTCGGAATCGAATCCCAGTACTCTGGCCCACATCAGCGCAATTCGCCAGCTGACCTAACCCGACCTTCTGCCTAACACGGCGACATAAAGTCACATAAGGGGCGTGACAGTGGAGTTCCACGCATTCAGGACTCTGAAATTAAATGGTGAACCATTAGCTCTTCTCGCCTTGACCCCAGTTAGTTTAGTATGTCAGCCGCTCTGAATATAGCGACTAAACAATTCTATATCCATTCAAGGCGTATACGGGACGTGGAGGTAAAACTCAAAGGATCATTACTCATTTTCAGTAGATATTAATGAGGCTGTCTCTCTTAATTGCTGTTTATGCAGTTTAACTTAAAATGACAGTGACCGAAGGTTATTGTAAAAACCAGGATGGCTCAGTCACTATAGTGACTGTGCTACTGGCTGCATAATTTAGGAGCTCGGAGTTCGATACCCGGTAAGAGAAAGAAATTTATCTCTTTTCCCCAGCACTCAGACCGGCTCTAGGGACGTCAAGCCTTTAAACCAGTGAGTACCGAGGACAGCCATGCTTCGAAGAAGGATGCTTAAAATTATGAGATCAAAGAAAGCAGGCCAGATTGCAGTGGTTACAGGATCCAAGCGAGTTAAATGGGGATAATGTGAACAATATAAGACGCGAAACCAGCAGGCATTTCAGGAACAAAAAGAGGGAATATCTGAAAGACAAAATTGATGAGCTTGCAATGAACAGTAAGAACAAGAACATTCAGAGACCTCTATAGAGGAATAAATGACTTTAAGAGGGATTAGTTAGTTATTGGAGAGGGTGGGTTTCCCCATGCACTTAGACCAGTATTGGTCCATTGTGCTTCCCTCCATGATATTCTACCAGTCTCTATACCCTACCGATATTGGTGCGTACCATCAGTCCCGACCGAGCCAGCGAGTTCGGCCTCTATTGGCTTGTCGGTATCTATAATGCTTCACCCATCTATCAGAGTTGTTAGAGACTACTGTTGGGCGGGAAACGTCCTTGAATTTGGCTCAGTAACCTCCTTTGGAGACACGAGGTTCTTTTACGTGCCGTAAAGCTAAGACACGGGACCCACAGCTTGAAGTCTCTCCCGGAGGACTTGTTCCCTGAATTTTTCCGCCCTTAAAAATTCCACGACCTCCGCCGGGTTTGAACCCGCGTACCATGAGTCATGAGGTGGGAACGTTACCTCTAGACTACGGAGGCCGCTTTAAGAGGGGTTACCAGCCTAGCAGTAACTTAGTGAACGATGAGAATGGTGATCTGCTTGCAGATTCTCACAACATTTTGAATAAGTGGAGGAACTACTTCTCTCAGTTATTGAATGTACATCGGGTCAGCGCTCTTAGGTATATCAGCTGTTGGTCTCTGCTGATGTGAATACACTGGGTGATAATGTAGATACCATGAAGAGAAACACGCGAACTTTAATTGACTCTAGTACAGAGGTTGGTCTGTCTCGTCAGCAAAATGCGGGGCAAAATCATGACATGAAGATAGGCAACAGATGTTTTCAAAATGTGGCACAGTTCAGATTCCTCTTCTCCCCCAGGAGTGCTACATGCCCTGCTCATCTCATCCTCCTTGACTTGGAAATTCTGATTATATTTAAGAACAAATAAATGAAATTCATCTTATTTCGACAGCGGGAGTCGAGGCTGGCCTCATTTATGCTACAGACTGTCCCATATCCTTGCTGATCCTTAAGTCACAGTGGTAACTAGAGGTACCATCTGCGTGGACATTAAAATCTCGACATTTAGAAACCCACACACTACCTGTTTATGATTCTCGGAGCAACAGACATTTCCTTAAGAAGCATTAGCCAGTTGTTGTTTGTAACAGAGACGTAATGTGTTTTCTGTGAGGCAGGAACTGGGCTTTGAAGTAACTTATTATTTGGCCCGGGTTCGATCCCGTTTCTGTTCAAGTGGGATTTGTGGTGGACAAAGTGGCGCTGGGGCGGGTTTTCTCCGAGTACTTCGTTTTCCCCTGACAATCTTCATTCCACCAAATTCTCCATCATCATAATCACCCGGGGCAGGCTACAATAGGCCAATCAGTGGCCGCCGTGCCGAGTGGACCCAGCTGGACTCCACCCCCACTAAGCGAATTAAAAAAAAAACCTTATTATTTACGAATCTACCAACTCCGCGTTTCAGAGGGTTGATACAAGGAGTAAGATTCCATACGTGGGGGATAACACGAACCCAAGGCCTCTACCGTTACAGCACAACTTGAAAGTCGGACAAATTAACGGTCATGAACAGGAGTCGAATACGTGATTCCATTACTCGAGAGCGCGCGCGAAAACCGTGGGTACTGTATAAGATTCGAAGTTACAAGGATTGCGAAGATTTCTATTCTGTTCTTCTGGACTGTGAGACCGTTAGGTCTGGTATGATGACATTAACGTTTCGACTTCAGATGTAGGCACTATGTTCCTCCTAAGCCATTCACCAGACTGGACGGTGTCGTAACCTAAAGACCACAGGGACAAACATGCGTATTCAGACAGCACGGCTCCTCAGTCTTCCTAAGTAGTCACCACAAAGACGTATGGGAGAATGGAGGTATGGATCCACGTAGTCTTAACCGCGGCACTTGATGGGGTTCTATTTCCGCCAGGGCCAAGAGAGTGTTCTCCTCACAGCACCGTCCAGACGGGCAATGGAGCCCATCTTCTTATTCATTGGGTACGGGAGCACTTACCTCGAGTCTAAAGAGGCCGGGGCGTTTAGCTAACCACTCACAGTGCCCCCAACTCACAGAAACACGTTTTGAATGCGATTCGACCCCTTAATCCAGTAGTTTGAGCGGCCTGAGACCACGCATTAACTTTGTTGCTTCTGCTGTGTTCTCCAATAAATTAACATGTTTTGGAACGATTAGCAACTGTGGGTCAAAGCGTCCGTCCTGTTGGTTGTTGAGGGGGGATGAGTCAGCTGGCGGAACATCTCTTGCGCAGACTCCGTGGATACGCAACTTCCTCGCTCTCTCGTAGGCCTGACTCACATTACTCTCGTAAACAAAATATCAAAGGGTCACTCGACGGTCATTTCTGTATTAACGGCTTTATTTACGAGCTATTGAGAACACGGTAACGAACATTCAGGAACCATGAAAGGCAAGATATTTCTAGATCAGCTGAGCTAATATTGACATCCCAAGAAGGATTCTGCGCTGTGGGTTTTATTGCTCGTAATTCTTCAACGAAGAGAAAAAGAGGGAATTCCCAAAGCACGCCCGGGGTTGCTTCACGAACTTCGAGCATCTGCGTGACTTGGCACGAAACCCAGAGTTTGCTGTTGCTGCACTGAAGTGTACAGTGAAATGTTCAGGGCCGATCAGTCCCACCCACCGCTTGTCTGTCACGACTTCTCTTTGTTGCAGTATTTTGCCTATTCCTGGAACCGAATCCCAGCTCCTTGGATGGACGGTCGAGGAACAGGAGTTCGATTCACTTGTCCACAGCATCCATACCGGCCCTGGGGCCCACCTAACCTCCTGTACAATGAGTACTGGCGGCTGTTACCCTGGCGGTAAAGTTTCCGGGGTGTGAAGCTGACCACTCACCATCTAATGCTGAGATTAAGAAGAGTGGAGCTATACCTTCGTTTCCCTATACGTATTCATGGCTTGGTAAGGTAAAATGAAGTTGGCCTTGGACTTAATTAATTAAGCAGCATGCCTCGAAGACGTATGGGGGAATAGAGGTATAGCTCCATCATTCTTGATCTCGGCACAAGATGGAGGTGAATGGTGAGCTTCACGTCCCCCGCTGTTTTACCCCTGGGACCCACTGGGTGGGCGCCAGAGCCGGTCCAAAAGTTCTGGAAAAGAGAAAATTCTTGTCCCTGCCGGGAATGAAGCCCGGCCGTCCAGCCCATAGCCTGTCGCTGTACTGACAGCTATCGGGACTCCGTGCTTAATTAATTAGCGTCTAGGCTACGGGTTGGATGACCGAGGAATCGCAGTTCGATCCTTCCGTCATCCAGCAAGGGGGTTATCTCTAGTGCATAACGTCCAGACCGGACCCAGCCTCCTATACAATGGGTACCGGGTATTTTCGCAGAGGGCGTGAAGCTGACCGCTGAGGTTAGGAATCGTGGAAGTAGACCTCAACTCCCCCCATACGTCTTCATGTTTTCGCACTAAGTTAGTGAAGCACGTTCACAGGGTTGGCCACTACGCGGTGCAGTGTGGTAGGTTAGGAATCGCGCCAGTTGGTGGCCAGCAAACGGGAAACTATGTTCGGGGGAACTGGAGCAGTAAGCTGATAAGCGTATCTCTGTGTGAGAGGGGCAGAGGACGTAGCGTTCAAGACAGCGTTCAGTAATTTAATAGCTACTAGTGGAATTGGCACAGAGAAAACAACGGGTGTGTATGACAATTCCCATTTCTGGCTGCGGTCCACAGATACTACAGCCCTTGAGGTGCACTCTGGATGTGTAGGCAGTGGACTTTGAAACGCTCCGGAAGTGCAGCTCGAGAGATTTAAACATGTTGAGAACTGTCTAGAACAGTTTTTCTCAATCAGTGGGACGCATCCTACATGACGGTCACGCGGTAGCGTAGTTGGTTGTGGTACTATGCTGCAAGCCGGAAGATCTCGGGTTCGATTCCCAATGGGGTCACTGGATTTTCTCAATTTACCTAATCCTTCCTGCCGCACTATGACCCTGGGTTCGACTCAGCCTCTAACAGAAATGAGTACCAGGAATCTTCCTGGGGCGTAAAGGGTGGGCTGAGTGTAAGGCTAACAACCTCACCGCCTTGTGTGAGCCAATTGTCTAGAAAATGTGGGAGCCT